ACGACTTCACCGCGGCGGACATGTGCTGCTCGCGTGGTGGGGGAGGGCTGACGGCAGCACCGAGTGCCGCTCCGACGGCATCTCCGACAGAGGCTCCCACGGGCCCCCCCGCAGCACTGCCGACGTGACGACGACGACTTCACCACGGCGGACGCGTGCTGCTCGTGTGGTGGGGGAGGGCCGACGGCAGCACCGAGTGCTGCTCCGACGGCATCTCCGACAGAGGCTCCCGCATGGGCCCCCACAGCACTGCCGACTGCGGCTCCACTGTGGCGCCAACAGTAGCCCCGACGGCGGCCCCTACTGCCGAACCTACGGCAGCGCCGACAGCAGCTCCAACGATAGCGCCAACAGCAGCTCCGACAGTGGCTCCGACGGCTGCGCCCACTCTAGCGCCGACGGCAGTGCCAACTGCAGCTCCAACGACAGCTCCAACAGCAGCTCCGACCAGAGCGCCAACAGCAGCCCCGACGGCGGCGGCTCCGACGGCTGCACCCACTGCAGCGCCGACGGCAGTGCCGACAGCAACTCCATGTGTCTCCTGCGGCGGTTATCTGCCCCCCCCCCCCCCCCACACACAAACACACGCCCCACCACCACCGCCACCACGCACATAGGCGCTCTCGGCGTGCAGCTGCAATCAACCACTCAGCAGGGAAGCGCTCTGTTTGCAGCCCACACCACCCCCCTACATCCTATGCTCTGTGCGAGCTGCTACCAAGACATGTGTGCATTGTGGCTGTTGGCTGCACCCCGCACCCCCCCTCCACTATGTGGTCAGATTCAGCCCTGGCTGCGTTCCAGCGCTCCATGAGCAGGTCGCGGCAGCTGTGGATCTCGGCGACATGCGTGGCCGTTACCTGCGAGGTTGCAGCGCGCCAGCTCTTGGGCCAGAGTGAGCCCCCTCTCATCGTTGCAGCCCCGGCCAGTCACTGGTTTCGGATACGATGACCGTCACGCCGGCCCCCCCCCCAGGGCAGCGGTGTGGTTCGTGGAGTGAGTGCTCTGTAGTTTCCTGCCGTTCCTCTGCCTCTGTTTCCCCGCCGACCCCACGTGCGGCTGCGGTGTCCGTGGACTTCGCGTTGAGTTGTTCAGCCTTCAACGACGTCGTTCCCGTTTTTCACTGCCTGCTGTCGGCTTGGGGAGCTGCTCGGAGTTTGGCGCCGCCCGGGCGACTTCCTCCGTTGCACTCGCACTGTTGGCCGCTTGTTCACTTCGGCGTGGCCGGCGCCTATGTGCGTCTGCCTTTCGACTGCGGAGCATTTTGCTCAGTGCATGTGCACCCCGCGCATCGCGTGTAATTCGCCGTGGCCCGTAGTCCCGGACATCGCTGTCGCCGCCAGTCCGTGGTCGCGCGGCCGCCGACCGAAAAAGTAGCGGGCCTCTCCAGGTCTCGGCCACGCGGGCGCCTTGGGCTGCCGTTGGCTCCCCGATGGATGTGGATTTTTGATGACCGGGCGCTGTGTGGTCCAACGCCTGTACAGCCTTTGGTCTTCCCCCGCGCACTGTCTCGGCGGCGCCGCACAGCCGGTCGGCTTGCGCAGGTCGGCGCGGAGTCTGGCGCCACCCCTGCGACTCACTCCCGTGCCTCCGCACATTCTTCTCGGCGGCCCGTTTACTTCGGTTCATGTCGCTGCGCCTATGCGCGTTTGCTTGCGAATTCAGTTCATTTTGTTCTGTGCATGTGCATCTGCGAGTTTGTCTTGCGTGTGCGAACTTGTCCGCCGAAACTGGCGGCCTGCTCGCAAATTCGCTTCGTTCCGCCACCCGGACGCCGCTTTTTCTCTTAGACCGTGGCTTGGGAGCCGCCGACCAAAAAAATACCCCCACCAGGTAGGCTTGCGCGTTGCTAAAATGACAGGCCCGTGGCCCGGACCTCTCAGCTCGACGACTGCGAATCCGCGTCCGCCCGCGACCAGGAAAAAATATCCCCACCAGCTCCTCTTCTGGGTTGACGGCCGTCCTGGCATCGCTTGGTCCAGTGCGCCCCCGGCACGTGTGGTTGGCTCCCTGGACTCCGGCCGGTTGTGTGTCAGCCCTGTGCTCGTGGCTCGGTACTGGGCCCGTGTTGGGAACTCTGACGCCACCTCACGCATTGGTTCGTGGTGACCCGCGCCGTTTTGGCTGCGTCGCGGCTCCGCCGCTTCCCGCACTCGTGCGTTCTGCTGCCTCGGGGCCTCTCGGATACGGCCACCCTGGGAGCTGCAGCCTGCCAGCGCTTTCGCCTCCTGGCGTTAATTCTTTGACCGACGGTCCCTCGGGCCACCCTGGTACTCTCGCTCACGCCGACGTCCGGGGCTGCGCCTTTGCAATTCTCAATTCCACCTTGACCGACGGTTCTTTGGCTGCGGCCACCCTGGTGCTCCCGCAGTTGTCCGGGATTCGGGTTCACGCTTTAATCTTACGGCTTCCGACCCTGGTCGTCGTTTATCCCGACTTCCTGGTGCTCGACGCCCTGCATATTTGCACGCTGGCAGTTCGACGCAGTCTCAGTCCTCTGCCACCCGCCCGCCGCTGGGCCGCCGCGCGAGGCCTCGGCTAGTTAAGTTAGACGCGGCTTGCTCCCGATGCCTTCGCTGAATTCGTCGCTGCGTAGCCCACTTTGACCTGATTCGCCGCCGGCGCACTCGCCCGCGGCCGCTGACTAAAAAATGCCCCCAACAGTTTACTCGCCGTTGGCGCGCTCGCCTACGGCTGCTAACAAAAAAGTATCCCCACTAGTCCTCCTGTTTGTTCCTCCCTCCGCTGTCCTCTCTTTTCCTCCCTCCCCCCTTCTGGTGCGCAGTTCGCTCGTAGCCCGCTTGCTGCGACGTTTGGACGGCGTCCGGTGTCTCCCGGTGCGCTTGCGATCAAAAAAGTATCCCCGCTAGCCCATCCAGAAACGATGCCCATGAGAGCTGACGGGGGGAGATGGGAAGAGACATGCATAGTCAAACAGCGAGGGAGGCCGGCCTGGCAGGCTGTGTTGGGGCCATCTCCGAGCCCGCGTGGGGGGGAGGGGGGGGCGAAGGAAGAGGAGAAGGAGGAGGAGGAGGAGGAGGAGGAGGAGGAGGAGGAGAGAAGGAGGAAGGAGACACGAAGAGCAAGACGAGGAAAAAGAGGACGAGGATGAGGAGGACGAGGACTAAGAGAGTGAGGAGGAGGGGGGAGGCGAGGGGGGAGGAGGAGGAGGAGGAGGAGGAGGAGGAGGAGGAGGAGGAGGAGGAGGAGGAGGAGGAGGAGGAGGAGAAGGAGGACGAGGGCGAGGAGGAGGAGAGGAGGAGGAGGAGGATAACGAGGAGGAAGAGGAGGAGGAGGCGGAGGAGGAGGAGGAGGAGGAGGATGAGGAGGAGGAGGAGGAGGAGGAGGAGGAGGAGGAGGATAAGGACGAGGAGGTCGACGATTCCGAGGACGAGGAGGGGGACGAGGACGAGGAGGACGAGGAGGAGGACAAGGACGAGACGACGTCTTGCGTGCCTCGGGTGAGCTTCTTGGGCCTCCTGAGGGGCCGCTGAAGGGGCCTCTTGGGCGCCTTTCGGGTGCCTCCTGGAGGCCTCTTGGGGCCTTTTGGGGCGCTCTTCGGGCTCCCTTGGGGGCCTCTTTGGGAGCCCTGGAGGGCCTCTTGGTGCCATCTTGAAGGCGGTCGGTCAAAAGAGTAGGGGCCATCGATCTCTCCCCCCCCCTCGGGGGCCACGATCCTCGTGAGTGGTGTCAAAATTGGCGCTCCGACTAGCCGAAAATGGACCCTCTGACACATCGGTCCCCCTCCGAACAAAAACCCAGGGAGGGGAGGGGGAGGGTTCCCTTCCCCGAAGGGAAGAGGGGTTGTGGAAGAAGAAAGGGTCACCCTTAGACCACCTGTCGCCCAAAGGGCTGGTAGGATTCACCCCGTTGTGTGATGCTCAACTGGGAAGGGGATAGCTGTACATTGCGGGAGGAGGAGGAGGTGGCGGATGAGCAGGAGGACCAGCATGATGCAGAGGAACGAATTTGAAGAAGGAGGAGTAGAAGCAGCAGTAGGAGCAGGAGCATTGCGCAGGGGAAGATCGGGAAGGGGAAAAGAGGGTGGAGACAACGACGAGGAACGAGCCGTATCCAGACATGTTGCCCGCGCTAGGGCGAGAACGCCATTCTGAACGACGGGGTCGAAGCGCCGATCCTGACATGAGAGACGAACGCTGCATCGGGAGCACAACTTTTAGGAACAAGTTTCGATGGGACAAGCATGTCGCAGATATCATAGCGAGTGATGAGGTCCTTCGCCGAGCAGTATGTGGGAGACGCGGCGCCTCGTTTGAACGGCGTCCGGGGAGGGGGGGAAAGGTCTACGTATTCATACGGAGCGATTGTGAAGGGAGGGTCTGGTGGTAAGGGGTGGGACAGGGAGGAGAGGGCAGACTGGATGGGGCGGGGGTTCGCGGGAGACGGGAGAGGAGGGTTGCATCCTTGAGGCGGCGCGACATCGATTCGCCACCCTTGACGGTCCGATGTGGTGGCTCGAGGAGCTGTGTTAGCCTTCTGGGCGTGAGCCATCCTCCAGCCTCGTCGGGGAAGATGGGCGGATGAAGAGGAGGAGGAGGAGGAGGAGGAGGAGGAGGAGGAGGAGGAGGAGGAGAAGGAGGCAGAAGAAGAGGAAGGAGGAGGAGGAAGAAGAGGAAGGAGGAGGCGGAGGAGGAAACGTTGCATGGGGAGGGTGATGGGCCATACCTGGTTTGACCGAGGGGCGTTTTTTTCTTGCCCCCATGGCATGGAGGAGGATGATGTGGAGGAGAGCGTGTAATTTACGAGGATGTCGAGGAGGTGGAGGCAGGAATGTGGGGACGAGGATGTTGCCTCCCCCCTCCGCTCCTGTCTTTGCCCCGCTCGCTCTCCTCATCCCCTTTGGCCCCCCAAGCAGATTTTCGCTGGTCCCACTGAATTTCTTGGTCCTAAACAAATTCTTTGGCCCCTCCCGAAAAATCGTTGATCCCACAAAAGAAATCATTGCCCCCCCCCCTCCCCCCCCTGTGGGCTCTCTCGAGGAGAACGCCACCACGGTAATGCTGAGAAACTTGCCGCCGAGCTACACTCGCCAGATGCTGATCGACATGATCGCAGCGAAAGGGTTCTTGCGGCACTGCGACTTCCTGTATCTCCCGATCAATTTCAAGCGCAACCTCAACGTCGGCTACGCGTTCCTGAACTTCACGAGTAGGGAGCAGACGGAGCTGTTCTTCGCCGCCTTCGAGGGCTTCAGCGGCTGGGACGTGCCGTCGGGACAGGTCTGCTCCGTGTGCTGGAGCGAGACGAAGGGACTCAAGGCGAACATCGAGCGCTACCGCAACAGCCCCATAATGCGAGCCGAGGTATTCACAGTGGAACAAAAATGGGCCTCGTGAGAGCAACATCCGCATGCTTTGACGATGACCCACTTAGCTCGCACGCGCGCCGTTCTCTTCACGAGCTGGGTGACACGTGATCGCCGAAACGGATTCGCAGCACCAGATGCGCGAAGCATGCAGATGTTGCTACGGAGCGGGCCTCCTGAGGGAGGGATCCCGGGTCTGTTCGCCGTTCTCGGCCAACTGGGGCCCCCCTCTGGCCGTGGGACCATCACGCAGCGACCCAGGATGGTAAGCCCAGTCGGACCGAGGTATCAGATCGAGGTCGGTTCGGGGAGGGTACCCTAGTGCTTTTCGTGTCTGTTGGATGTTCTTGCGCATCCAGGGGAGGGTACCCCTGGATGTTCTGCTTGGTTTGGCCGGCGGAGGGTCTCATGTCCTTGAGAGAGGTTTTTCTGGTCTAGGTCCGACTGCATGTGCATGGGAATGCTCTGGGGTCCATGGTCCGCTTGTTTTAGAACCACCTTGCCATCATGCCGAGGTACCTGACGGGTTCAAGCCGACGCTGCTTGTGGATGGGCGCCCCATTCCTTTCCCGAGCCCCACGACGGACTTGCGCAGCCTTCGCTTTCGAAAGGGCCACGGCATCAAGGAGAACGTCCTCGAAAGCGATTTCACACTGCAGTGAGCATGCTCTCTGGCTACGCCTCGTCTTCCAGCTCCTCATCCCCTCATCTGCCCTGTTGTCATGTTTCTCAGTCTGTTTAGTATCGTTCTAAGTGTTGAATGGTATAGCTTTCTGATCTGCCAACCTGCCAGTTTATCATCCTGCCTGTCCATCCGTCAGGTTGTCAGTCAATCGGTGAATCGGTCTTCTGTTGTCCGACCCTTTTCATTGTCTTACTGTTGCCGCGCGGGGCACACTCGAGCTCGGACCCTGTATCCAGGGGCGCGCTTGGAGTACAGTCAACCCGCATAGTAAGGATGGCCAACCTTCCCAAGGGTACCCTTACATCCTTACCTCCTCGGTCCATCCTTCGCCGCTTGCGCTGGCCGCGCCCCGCTCGAAAAGCTTCGAACTGGGCGTCCAAGACCCTTGCATCCTCATCGCGCATCCTTACTATGGTGGTTGACTGTATAGATTCGATGTCGCCCCAGCGAAGAATGGTCGGGGCCCGATCTCGTGCGCACCGCCCGCGAGGTCCTTGGGCTTGGAGGCCCCTTGCCCAGCAGGCACCTCCAATTTACATTACAATCACTGTTTCAATCGCGGGGTATTGCCGTGGACAAAATTGTTTGGCACCCGCTGGTGCACTTGTCATGGCGGTAGACCCTCACTGCAACCACAAGTGCTCGATTTCCTCCCGCCCCTCTCCCTCCCCCTCCCTTCTCTCTCCCTCCTCCCCCCCATTCCCCCTCTCCCCATTCTTTCCCTTTTCCCCCCCTCCTCCGTGTCCTCCCGACTCCCCCCCCCACGCTCACCGAGTCTCCCGACTCCCTCTTCCCTGCTCGCCCCTCCTTGCCAAATGGGAAGGGGGAGGAGGATGAGGAGGAGGAGCAGAAGGAGGAGGAGGAGAAGGGGCTGGCAATTTTTGGCTCACGGGGGTCAAGGTGTTTCCCTGGTCGGTCGGTGGCCCTCCTTCTGGATCGGGCTCTCTCTCTCTCTCTCTCTCTCTCTATATATATATATATATATATATCCAGACCTCCTGCCATGGCGCCGGGCTGTGCGCTGGGCTCCAGCCTAGGTTTCCCAAGGGTTTATTGAGGGACTTTTCGGGGACCTCGTGGAGGCTCCTTGGGGTCTCCGTGGGGGCCTCTTAGGGCATCTCGGGGGCCTCTTGGGGGCCCCTTTGAGGCTCGTGAGGCCTCTTGGGGGCATGTTGGGCTTCTTCGGCGTCAGGGTTGGAGGACACTCGCTCCCCAGGCAACTTCGAGTTCATCCCCTTGTGCGACTCTCGTGGAGCCCTCTTGGGTCGTCTTGGGGCCCTCTTGGGGTCCTCTGGGGTCGTCTTGGTGCGATCCTGTGGGCCTCTTGGGCCGTCTTGGGCGCCCTGAAGCTCGTAAGCGATAGTATCCAGCAATCTTCCACCAACTGAAAGATCATACTTGGTTTTCGTCTGGGGTGCTCTTGGGGCCCTCGTGCGGGGTGTTCGAAGCCTGTTGGGCCGTTGTGGGCCGTCTTGGGGCCTAATGGGTAGATTCGGGCCCATGTTAGAGTATCTGAGGGGCCTCTTGGGACCCTCTTTGACCGTCTTTGCGCTTTGTGTCTGGCCTCTGGATCAGTTATGCGACGGACCAAACAGTGACGTCTGGGAGTCCCATACATTCAGGTAATTTGTACTCTGGCCGCCTCAAGGAATATTCCATATAGGGGCTCGGGGTCACTCCACTCAGTGCCTGCGGGACGGTGCCAGATACAGCGAGATATGAGGCCATATAGGTAGTCAGCTCTGCGAGTGCGGAAAGTCGCAAGTTGGCTTGCAGTCTGGTCAATGATCTCTCGGCGTGTATCTGGCACAGTCAACAAATAGGCAGTCATACCGTTTGTTCGATTGTAGTGGCCTCGGGCCAGTGCCGCCGATCCGGGGTGCTACCGATTCTGCTTGCAACGGATGACCTTTTATGTTCAAAAGTAGAGCACTCGCTCGAGACAGCCTCATAAGATAGTGATGTTGAACTCGCTTGGGCAACCTTCGGATATCCGAAAGTGACGATCTCGCGTGAACAACCAAACTCATGGGATGTTGACGTAGCTCCTGGGCTTCGGGGGGGGCTTTTTGGAGGCATCCTGGAGGCTTCTTCGGGGCGCGCTGGAGGAAGTTGTTGAATCTCTTGGGGGCCTTTTGAGGGCCTCCTTGGGTTTTCTTGGGCCGTCTTGGGCCCTTCTTGGGCCGTCTTGGAGCCCTCTTCGGGCGTGAATGGCGTCAGCCATGGCGTCGGCCCTCCCCCCCCCTCGTCGGGCCGACCAGGAGGGGATACCGGTATCCCCCCTGATGGGCCTCCTGAGGCCTCCTGGAGCCCATGAGGCCTCCTGAGGCCTCCTGGAGCCCATGAGGCCTCCTGAGGCCTTCTGGAACACATGGGGCATCCTGAGGCCTTCTGGACCCCATGGGGCATCCTGATGCCTTCTGGAGCCCCTGGGGCCTCCAGAGGCTTCCTGAAATTTCCTGGGGCCTCATAGGACCGTCTGGACCCGCTTGGGACCTCCTGATGCATTATGGAGCCTCCTGGGGCCTTCTGGGGCTTCTTGTGATATCCTGATACCTCCTGTAACCTACTGAGATCTCCTGGGGCCTTCTGGGATGTTCTGGAAACCCCCGTGGCCTCCTGCGGCCTCCTTGGACATCCTGGCCGTCTCGGGGCGCCACGAGGCCCTCTCTTGGGGCTCCCCGCAGCTGTCTTGGGCTGTTTGGGGCAGATCCCTGGGACTTCTGGGTACCGAAAATAAGTGAACCGAAGGCCCTCCGAGAGCGCAGGGCTTGGTTCACTTATTTGGTTGGCATATGGCCGCGTCCGCCACCCCCCCAGGACCGTTTCGGGGCAGGACATAATGATTTATTCTTAAACTTCGTAGGGTTGGTCCGTCGTAATACACACATAAACCATATTATATATATACATAGTATATGTAATATATACTATTTATGTATATATTACATATATTAATATATAAATATATATATACTCATATCTATATACATATATTCATATGAATACATACATACATTGTCATAAGTGGGAGCCGAGTGGGACCCGAAAGTGATGCGACCATTTCTATCAGAAAATGGTCGCATTACTTTCGAGCTCCAGCGGCTTCGAAATGACCGTCTTGGAGCCCTTCTTGGGCCGCCGTGTGGGCATACAAAGGTTAGCTTGAGGGTGGCTCGGCTCGTCTTGAGGCTCATTTGTTCCATCTTGGGGTTGCCTTGGCAATCTCAAGTATTCCGTTAATATTCGGAGCGCTCCAAGACGGCCCAAGAGGCCTCCAATATTGTCCCAAAACGGCCCAAGAGGGCCCCAAGACGGCCCAAGACGCCTCCAAGACCGCCCAAGAGGCTCCTAAGATGGCTCCAAGAGTGTGCCCAGACGGGGGACCTGAACGGACATTTCGAGCCATAAGCCCCGAGAGGCTCCCAGGAGGCCCTAAGAGGCCCCAGGAGGCTCCCAAGAGGCACCCCCAGGAAGCCGCAAGAGGCTCTCAATAGACTCCCAGGAGCCCGCCTCCCCGTCGTCGTCGTCGCCGCCGCCGTCGTCGTCGTCCCCCTTCAGGGTCGGCGGCACCGCTCAGACTGTCAGGGGCTCAACTCCAGCCGTTTTGAGCGCCCCCAAGTGGGCTCGCGGAGAGTCGAGGAGCACCCTTGGGGGCAGGTCAGAAAAACAACGACAACTACGATATTTACAATGTTTTTGTTTGTTTTTGTTTGGCCTGCCCAGGAGGTGGAAGCCGAGTCGGACCCGAACGTGATGCGACCATTTCTATCAGAAACTGGTCGCATTACTTTCGAGCTCCAGTGGCTTCGAATTGACTGTCTTTGGAGCCCTTCTTGGGCCGTCTTGTGGGCATATAAAGGTTAGCTTGAGTGTGGCTCGGCTCGTCTTGAGGCTCATTTGTTATATCTTGGGTGTGCCTTGGCACCCCGACGTATTCCCTTAATCATCGGAGCGCTCCAAGACGGCTCAAGAGGCTTCCAATATTGTCCCAAACCGGCCCAAGAGGGCCCCAAGACGGCCCAAGACGCTTCCAATACAGCCCACGAGGCCCCCAAGATGGCTCCAAGAGTGTGCCCAGACGGGGGACCTGAACGGACATTTCGAGCCCCAAGCCCCGAGAGGCCATCAGGAGGCCCTAAGAGGCACCAGGAGGCTCCCAAGATGCCCCAAGAGGCCCCCAAGAGGCACTCTCGGGAAGCCGCAAGAGGCCTCCAGTGGACTCCCAAGAGGCCTCCACTCCGTCGGCGTCGTCGTCGTCACCGCCGCCGTTTTTCCCCTCCAGGGTCGGCGGCACCGCTCGGACTGTCAGGGGCCCAACTCCAGCCGTTTTGAGCACCTCCAGGTGGGCTCGCGGAGAGTCGAGGAGCACCCTTGGAGGCAGCTAAGAAAAACAACGAAAACTACGCAATTCATTGTGTTTTTGATTGTTTTTGCTTGGCCTGCCCGGGAGATGGAAGCCGAATGGGCCCGAAAGTGATGCGACCATTTCTATCAGAAAATGGTCGCATTACTTTCGAGCTCCAGGGGCTTCGAAATGACCGTCTTGGAGCCCTTCTTGGGCCGTCTTGTGGGCATCTAAAGGTTAGATTGAGGGTGGCTCGGCTCGTCTTGAGGCTCCTTTTGTTCCATCTTGGGGTTGCCTTGGCAATCTCAAGTATTCCGTTAATATTCGGAGCGCTCCAAGACGGCCCAAGAGGCCTCCAATATTGTCCCAAAACGGCCCAAGAGTGCCCCAAGACGGCCCAAGGCGCTTCCAAGACCGCCCAAGAGGCGCCTAAGATGGCTCCAAGGGTGTGCCCAGACGGGGGACCTGAACGGACATTTCGAGCCCTAAGCCCCGAGAGACTCCCAGGAGGCCCTAAGAGGCCCCAGGAGGCTCCCAAGAGACCCCAAGAGGCTCCCAAGAGGCACCCCCAGGAAGCCGCAAGAGGCTCTCAATAGACTCCCAGGAGCCCGCCTCTCCGTCGTCGTCGT